CAGCAACGACACACGTACCGTAACTGGTGGGGGTTAAAAGTAACAGAGGCATCTACTGAATCAACAAGGTGTTTATGGAGGGAGAAATCGTCAGGAGTAGAATTCAGATGGTGGAGATCAATGTATTTAGCACATGTAGCGGGACCAAACAAGGCATTGTAAGTATTAGCATGGGAAGGGATTGTGCGAGTGCAGCCGTGGCAGGGCGGCATGAGAACCCCCAGAGAGGGGGTAAAAGGCGCAGTAGTCACAATGAGAGACGAAGCCGTGCCAGGGGATGAGGTGGTCACCACTGGGGGCAGGGAACTCGACCCTACCTCAGAGGAGGGAGGGGAGTAGTCAGGAGGGTCAAAGGAAGAGTAAGGTTGGGGCCCAATGCAGCGGAGGCTACAGGGCCCGGTCTTCCAACACAGTCCGACTCAGGGGCTTGGTCGCGCACCCCACGAGCCTGAGAAGGTACAAGGGAAACATTATCTGACATAGAAACGAGGAAAACTTTCATTCACGAATGTGCCCCCACACCCACCATGGAGCCACAATTAGAGGCAGGACACCCAACAAGAAGCTATCGCCGATCTTGCCGGGGCCCCCCAGGGGTGCGTCGTGAGTATACGCCCCACAAACGCCACCTTAAGAACCGTGAGTCCGTTGAGATCGGGTTCAGTGACGAAAGGAGGATTGACAATAAAAGGGTCCCCTCGTTTGAGACGTTGGGTACCACAGTTCTATGGGAGCAAGAGTATGCCTCCCCAAACATCTGGACATCAAAATAAAAGAAGGCCGAAAGAAGAATCAAAACAAGCAAAAGGTCGGCGGGGAATGACAATGAGAAAGGAGAAGAGGGGGGAGAAAAAGAAACAGAAGGAAATGGAAAAGTTGTCCAGCACAATTAGAAAGGATAGCAGCAGGAGCACAAGGCTACAAAAGGACAGAGGACTGCCCCAAAGAGCATCACACTCCAGCAGCTGCCCACCAAGCCCACCCCAAGGGTAGCATACCCAAAGGTGGTATACCCCAGGGTACTGTACCCTAGGGTGGTATACCCCAGAGTAGCGTATCCTAGGGTGGTTGGAGGACAAAGCCGAGGCGTCTAAGACAGCACGGAGCTGGTATGCACACCACTATGACACGAAGGTTCAGCCATCGAGAGGGAAGTTTGGTAATGAGGTTAAATGAAACGGAACCTATCAATGTATGGGAAACTAGCACCTCGATGGCGGGGACCGTATAGAGTAATTAAGAAGCTAGGCAACATTAATTTTGTAATTAAAGGTATATTTGATGACCAGAGTGAAACAAGTCTTCATGTCAACAAACTGAAGGGTTACGTTGCCAGGAATTGGAACCGTCTTCAGCGATTCCCATTCCTGTCCCCTGGTGAGGTGACAGCCATCCAGGGTGGCCCAGGAGGACCTGGGGGAGGAGGACCTTCAGTCAACTCTGGTACTCAAAGTCAACCTTGTCACCTCCATGGTAACGAGGTCACGGGCTAGGCAAGGAGTGCTTAATCACCTCCGGGGAGAGGGAGTTGTAACAACCAGGAAAATCTCTCTCTTTCTCCCTTTATCCTCCCTCACCCTTCCATAATCCGTCTCCCCTCCTCCTCGAAGTGTAAGGGTCAATGGCAAGGTCAATGGACCTTGCCATCCATTACTAGATCAGCCTGGGATAAGACTTTTCAAACAGTTTTTAATTAACAATTCTTATGCTGAGCGTATTGCATTAGGAAGAGCAGACCACCCTACAAGCCTCCTCTTGTAGGTTGGCAACAAGCTAACCCCCCCCCCCCAGCTCATATTAGCTGGGGTCAGTTCGGGAACATATACCCGTTGTAGAAGGATAAGATTCAGAGTGCCTCGGCAAGTGACTGGAGCCGATCTGCAGGTCATGACACCACCGGGTTGAGAGCCAGGGTCTCCACCTGCGAGAGGCCGAGGTCATAGGTAACGTGTGATATCTCTGTTGTATTTATTTTCCATCTGAATTACTTACCATTTTGCCAGAGAAGGATAGTGACTTAGGAATTTGCCAGTGCAGGTGTCTTAGGAATTGGTGGTGAATATCATTTGATGAAATAAAATCTTATTAAATTACCATCTTTATGTGTCATTTGGTCCCCCCGCTCGATATCTACCAAGCCTGTCATCAAAGACGTTGAACCACCTTCTATGAACCTCCCAAATTCTCCATTATTAAATTGCTTAACATAACTCAGTGAAAACATCAAAAGAAGAAATCTCTCAGTGGTAATTAAAGTCAACGGGGCGCGGTGCTTCCCGCCATGAACCACTGGCGCTCCACTAATTAGAAGTTATCAATTCAATTGTCGTAACGACTGTAATTGGGTGATTGTGGCAGCTGGTGTTTCTCCTCTGAATTGAGATTAAGCGTTCCCGTGACCGTACCATTGTTGTTGTGAGAGAGTAGCAGTACCAGGGTACACTCGACTGTAAACTATTGTGTAGACTGTTGAAGAAATCTATTTAAGAGCACCAGTGTGTAAACCTACAGTGGTATCAGGTAGAGGTTACAATGGTAAAAGGTGTTACAGTATCCCAGAGTGGTATACCCAAGGGTAGCATACCCCCCAGGGTAGCATACCCCCAGGGTAACATACCCCCAGGGTAACATACCCCCAGGGAAGCATACCCCCAGGGTAGCATACCCCCAGGGAAGCATACCCCCAGGGAAGCATACCCCCAGGGTAGCATACCCCCCAGGGAATCATACCCCCAGGGTAGCGTACCCCCAGGGTAACATACCCCCAGGGTAACATACCCCCCAGGATAACATACCCCCAGGGTAACATACCCCAGGGTAACATACCCCCAGGGAAGCATACCCCCAGGGTAACATACCCCCAGGGTAACATACCCCCAGGGTAGCAAACCCCCAGCGTAACATACCCCCAGCGTAACATACCCCCAGGGTAGCATACCCCCAGGGTAGCATACCCCCAGGGTAGCATACCCCCAGGGTAGCATACCCCTCATGATAGCATACCCCCAGGGTAACATACCCCTCATGGTAGCATACCCCCAGAGTAGCATACCCCCAGGGTAGCATACCCCCAGGGTAGCATACCCCCAGGGTAACATACCCCAGGGTAACATACCCCCAGGGTAACATACCCCCAGATTAGCATACCCCTCATGATAGCATACCCCTCATGATAGCATACCCCCAGGGTAACATACCTCTCATGGTAGCATACCCCTCATGGTAGCATACCCCCAGAGTAACATACCCCCAGGGTAGCATACCCCCAGGGTAACATACCCCCAGGGTAACATACCCCCAGGGTAGCATACCCCCAGGGTAACATACTCCCAGGGTAGCATACCCCCAGGGTAACATACCTCCAGGGTAACATACCCCCAGGGTAGCATACCCCTCATGATAGCATACCCCTCATGATAGCATACCCCCAGGGTAGCATACCCCTCATGGTAGCATACCCCTCATGGTAGCATACCCCCAGAGTAACATACCCCCAGGGTAGCATACCCCCAGGGTAACATACCCCCAGGGTAACATACCCCCAGGGTAACATACCCCCAGGGTAGCATACCCCTCATGATAGCATACCCTTCATGATAGCATACCCCCAGGGTAACATACCCCTCATGGTAGCATACCCCTCATGGTAGCATACCCTCAGAGTAACATACCCCCAGGGTAGCATACCCCCAGGGTAACATACCCCCAGGGTAGCATACCCCCAGGGTAGCATACCCCCAGGGTAACATACCCCCAGGGTAGCATACCCCCAGGGTAGCATACCCCCAGGGTAGCATACCCCCAGGGTAGCATACCCCCAGGGTAGCATACCCCCAGGGTAGCATACCCCCAGGGTAGCATACTCCCAGGGTAGCATACCCCCAGGGTAGCATACCCCCAGGGTAGCATACCCCCAGGGTAGCATACCCCCAGGGTAGCATACCCCCAGGGTAGCATACTCCCAGGGTAGCATACCCCCAGGGTAGCATACCCCCAGGGTAACATACCCCCAGGGTAACATACCCCCAGGGTAACATACCCCCAGGGTAACATACCCCCAGGGTAGCATACTCCCAGGGTAACATACCCCCAGGGTAACATACCCCCAGGGTAGCATACCCCCAAGGTAACATACCCCCAGGGTAACATACCCCCAGGGTAGCATACCCCCAGGGTAACATACCCCCAGGGTAACATACCCCCAGGGTAGCATACCCCCAGGGTAGCATACCCCCAGGGTAACATACCCCCAGGGTAGCATACCCCCAGGGTAGCATACCCCCAGGGTAGCATACCCCCAGGGTAGCATACCCCCAGGGTAGCGTGACCACACCCATTATGTATAACATTTACATTGTGAAAACAGCCAATATAGACCTTTACCGGAGTCAGAGAACGTAAACCTGATTCATGAAACAAAACTCCATTACAACGACACGGAGACGAATTACTGTCACCCTAGAAAGTCACAAAGACCTCAAGGAAGTTGCAGGTAAATGCTCAAAGCAATTTGCAGGTTTTGGAAGGGTTACGAACCACTTAAAAATCATAGACGCGGTAGAAGATGATTTAACTACCTCACAGCTGACGAATTCGAACCTATCATGAAGCATTCGATACACGTTTGAGACAGTGTTCATATGGCTTGATCCGTAAATAATTAAGATCATGAGGCTTCGTGTAATTCCTAACGAGCCAGGTCGTTTCCCCTCGGGATGAACAACCATCTTTAAGTTGTATATATGTATAAGCTATGTATATACTTTATACATATACAACTTATACTTTATACGTGCACTTGGCCGTCTATAGCTTATAGTGAGTGTAGTGATGTATGTTGTTAAAATACAGTGTGTGGTTGTATTGACAACAGTACTATAGTGACCAGTAGTACTGACAACAGTACTATAGTGACCAGTAGTACTGACAACAGTACTATAGTAACCAGTAGTATTGACAACAGTACTATAGTGACCAGTAGTATTGACAACAGTACTATAATGACCAGAAGTACTGACAACAGTACTATAGTGACCAGTAGTATTGACAACAGTACTATAATGACCAGAAGTATTGACAACAGTACTATAGTAACCAGTAGTATTGACAACAGTACTATAATGACCAGTAGTACTGACAACAGTACTATAGTGACCAGTAGTACTGACAACAGTACTATAGTAACCAGTAGTATTGACAACAGTACTATAGTGACCAGTAGTATTGACAACAGTACTATAGTGACCAGTAGTACTGACAACAGTACTATAGTGACCAGTAGTATTGACAACAGTACTATAATGACCAGAAGTATTGACAACAGTACTATAGTGACCAGTAGTACTGACAACAGTACTATAGTGACCAGAAGTACTGACAACAGTACTATAGTAACCAGTAGTATTGACAACAGTACTATAATGACCAGTAGTATTGACAACAGTACTATAGTGACCAGTAGTATTGACAACAGTACTATAGTGACCAGTAGTATTGACAACAGTACTATAGTGACCAGAAGTACTGACAACAGTACTATAGTGACCAGTAGTATTGACAACAGTACTATAGTGACCAGTAGTATTGACAACAGTACCATAGTGACCAGTAGTACTGACAACAGTACTATAGTGACCAGTAGTATTGACAACAGTACCATAGTAACCAGTAGTATTGACAACAGTACTATAGTGACCAGTAGTATTGACAACAGTACCATAGTAACCAGTAGTATTGACAACAGTACTATAGTGACCAGTAGTATTGACAACAGTACTATAGTGACCAGTAGTATTGACAACAGTACCATAGTGACCAGTAGTACTGACAACAGTACTATAGTGACCAGTAGTATTGACAACAGTACCATAGTAACCAGTAGTATTGACAACAGTACTATAGTGACCAGTAGTATTGACAACAGTACCATAGTGACCAGTAGTACTGACAACAGTACTATAGTAACCAGTAGTACTGACAACAGTACTATAGTGACCAGTAGTATTGACAACAGTACTATAGTGACCAGTAGTACTGACAACAGTACTATAGTGACCAGTAGTATTGACAACAGTACCATAGTAACCAGTAGTATTGACAACAGTACTATAGTGACCAGTAGTATTGACAACAGTACCATAGTGACCAGTAGTATTGACAACAGTACTATAGTGACCAGTAGTATTGACAACAGTACCATAGTGACCAGTAGTATTGACAACAGTACCATAGTGACCAGTAGTATTGACAACAGTACTATAGTGACCAGTAGTATTGACAACAGTACCATAGTGACCAGTAGTACTGACAACAGTACTATAGTGACCAGTAGTATTGACAACAGTACTATAGTGACCAGTAGTACTGACAACAGTACTATAGTGACCAGTAGTACTGACAACAGTACCATAGTGACCAGTAGTACTGACAACAGTACTATAGTGACCAGTAGTATTGACAACAGTACTATAGTGACCAGTAGTACTGACAACAGTACTATAGTGACCAGTAGTATTGACAACAGTACTATAGTGACCAGTAGAACTGACAACAGTACTATAGTGACCAGTAGTATTGACAACAGTACTATAGTGACCAGTAGTATTGACAACAGTACTATAGTGACCAGTAGTATTGACAACAGTACTATAGTGACCAGTAGTATTGACAACAGTACCATAGTGACCAGTAGTATTGACAACAGTACTATAGTGACCAGAAGTACTGACAACAGTACTATAGTAACCAGTAGTATTGACAACAGTACTATAGTGACCAGTAGTATTGACAACAGTACCATAGTGACCAGTAGTACTGACAACAGTACTATAGTAACCAGTAGTACTGACAACAGTACTATAGTGACCAGTAGTATTGACAACAGTACTATAGTAACCAGAAGTACTGACAACAGTACTATAGTGACCAGTAGTATTGACAACAGTACTATAGTGACCAGTAGTATTGACAACAGTACCATAGTGACCAGTAGTATTGACAACAGTACCATAGTGACCAGTTGTATTGACAACAGTACCATAGTGACCAGTAGTATTGACAACAGTACTATAGTGACCAGTAGTACTGACAACAGTACTATAGTGACCAGTAGTATTGACAACAGTACTATAGTGACAAGTAGTACTGACAACAGTACTATAGTGACCAGTAGTACTGACAACAGTACTATGACAACATTTTAAAATCCATTAATATAATGCGAGGTAAGGTTATGTAAAGTATAAAGGTTAAAAGAGCTAAGATTAGGTTAGACTCACCTTACCCTATTTGATGTTACCAAACGTTACCTTACCTTAAACACTCTACCTTACCTCAAGACGGGCTGGCATTGACACCGTCGCCACCATTCCCACCAACCATATACGGGTTATTCATGCCCGTGCCACCTCTGGGGGCGGCTTAATCTTCATCAATCACTTCACAACCCCCCAGATAACCCCTTCCTTGCACTTCACTCCGTCGACATCAACACTCAAGATGTCACACGTGACGTCTAAGAGACGTCACACGTGACGTCTAAGAGACGTCACACGTGACGTCTAAGAGATGTCACACGTGACGTCTAAGAGATGTCACACGTGACGTCTAAGAGATGTCACACGTGACGTCTAAGAGACATCACCCTCACCACCAGCACACAAACTGAGTTGACACCTTGACACAAGTTGACATGAGTTGCCACAAGTTCAGTTGAAAGGTGGAACCAAGGAGCCAGAGCTCAACCCCCCCGCAAGCACAACTAGTTGAGTACAAGTATCGACTCCCGTACCACCCAAAATACACAAAATTATCGAACGCCTTTTTGGTAACAGTCTTGCAATCAAGAGAAATTCACTTCAATTGAAATATATCTAATTTTCATGGCATGCAACCCATAATGGTGTTTAGTAAACGTTAATCAATCCCTCCAGTAAAGATATATATATACAAAATCTAGCTCTAGCATGTAGCAACCAAAGAAATTAACAAATTTGAAAAAAACTTTTATAAACAAATAATAATGCCAAACCCCGAATACGATTTAATAAATAAATAATAAGCAAATATTATGGTTATGAAACTGCTCCCCAACAAGCATGTGGACCCCCGAGAACCCCCCTGGACCCCTGTAGACCCCCCTGGATCCTCTTGGACCCCCCTTGGACCCCCGTGGACCCCCCTGGACCCCCTGTAGACCCCCGTGGACCCCCGCTCTTCGATCCGGGGTCCATGAGACACACTCGAACGCAGGCGAAACAAACATTCCACAAGCCTGGGATCTGTGGGGTATCAACTTGTTCGAGTCCCTTGATAGAGGGTGTGGCGTGAGTGGTGTAGTGTGGCTGGTAGGGGAAAGGGAGGGTGTGGCAGGTAAGGGGCGTGTGGCGTGGCTGGAGGGGGTGTGGCGTGGTTGGAGGGGGGGGTGTGGCGGAGGGGCCAGGGGGGTCTGACACACAAACAAGCTGACTAAGACATCCTGAAGGAGGACCTGTCTCCTCAAGCAGGAGCTGTGTAGAGATTGGCTGGATGAAGGAGAAGCAGGTACATCCAATAATCTGATAAAGGACCTTGCAAGTACAGGGCTTGGGAGAGAGAGAGAGAGAGAGAGAGAGAGAGAGAGAGAGAGAGAGAGAGAGAGAGAGAGAGAGAGAGAGAGAGAGAGAGAGAGAGAGAGAGAGAGAGAGAGACAGAGCGGCAGAGACAGAGAGACAGAAACAGAGAGAGAGAGAGAGAGAGAGAGACAGAGAGATAGAGATAGAGAGACAGAGACAGAGAGAGACAGACACAGAGAGAGAGAAAAAAAATTGTTTAAATGGATCCATTGCAACAAAGTCAGGTGGTGTAAATAATGTTCCTGTCCCATTCTTTTCAAATAAATTAGACACACACACACACGACCTCACTACACTGCAGGAAAGAAGGAATAGAACGGACATGATAACGACGTACAAGATACTAACGGGTGACAGATAAAGTAGATACAGAACCAATGTTCACATAAAAGAACAGTAGAACGAGAGGACATAACTGGAACCTGAAACACAGATCAGAGATAGACACAGATTTCAGTCTAAGAGTCGAAAATGAAATGTAAATGTGATGAGAAAAATAAGTTAAAGAGAGTCACTGCATTGAATAAATGATGGTAAAAAGGCGGGGCTTAAGAGCCGATGCTCGACCCTGCAAACTCAATTAGGTGAGTACACACACACACACACACACACACACACACACACACACACACACACACACACACACACACACACACACACACACACACACACACACACATACACACACACAATCACTAATGGACCCACCACAGCCGATCACCACGGTCTTTCCCTAAGATCATCAAGTTCTTCCCCTCAGATCACCACGTTCTTCCCCTCAGATCACCACGTTCTTTCCCTAAGATCACCACGTTCTTCCCCTCAGATCATCACGTTCTTCCCCTCAGATCACCACGTTCTTCCCCTCAGATCACCACGTTCGTCCCCTCAGATCACCACGTTCTTTCCCTAAGATCATCAAGTTCTTTCCCTAAGATCACAGCGTTCTTACCACGTTCTTTCCCTAAGATCACAGCGTTCTTCCCTAAGATCACCACGTTCTTTCCCTAAGATCATCACGTTCTTCCCTAAGATCACAACGTTCTTTCCCTAAGATCACCACGTTCTTTCCCTAAGATCACCACGTTCTTTCCCTAAGATCACAACGTTCTTTCCCTAAGATCACCACGTTCTTTCCCTAAGATCACAACGTTCTTTCCCTCAGATCATCACGTTCTTCCCCTCAGATCACCACGTTCTTTCCCTAAGATCACAACGTTCTTTCCCTAAGATCACAACGTTCTTTCCCTAAGATCACAACGTTCTTTCCCTAAGATCACCACGTTCTTCCCTAAGATCACAACGTTCTTTCCTAAGATCACCACGTTCTTCCCTAAGATCACCACGTTCTTCCCTAAGATCACCACGTTCTTCCCTAAGATCACCACGTTCTTCCCTAAGATCACCACGTTCTTCCCTAAGATCACCACGTTCTTCCCTAAGATCACCAAGTTCTTTCCCTAAAATCATCAAGTTCTTTCCCTAAGATCATCAAGTTCTTTCCCTAAGATCACCACGTTCTTCCCTAAGATCATCAAGTTCTTCCCCTAAGATCACCACGTTCTTTCCCTAAGATCACCACGTTCTTCCCTAAGATCACCACGTTCTTCCCTAAGATCACAACGTTCTTTCCCTAAGATCACAACGTTCTTTCCCTAAGATCACCACGTTCTTCCCTAAGATCACAACGTTCTTTCCCTAAGATCACAACGTTCTTTCCCTAAGATCACCACGTTCTTTCCCTAAGATCACAACGTTCTTTCCCTAAGATCACAACGTTCTTTCCCTAAGATCATCACGTTCTTTCCTAAGATCACCACATTCTTCCCTAAGATCACAACGTTCTTCCCCTCAGATCACCATGTTCTTCCCCTCAGATCACCACGTTCTTCCCCTCAGATCACCATGTTCTTCCCCTCAGATCACAACGTTCTTTCCCCTCATACGTTCCCTCTTATCAAATCCATTTTAACCCAAATTCTAAACCATCTTAAGATTTTTCCCCTCCAAGCGCTGAACAGCGTCTTCAACCACCTCCTTAATGACGTCACAGGTTGTTATAGACGCGAACGACTATTATCGTCGTTCCGTATAATTGAGAATTTTTATTAACATAAAAAAAGAACCTTGTTAAGATACTTTTTTTTTTTTAATGGAGAAGTTGACAAAAATGTTTTATAAACTGAGGCAGGAGCTGCGGGGTAACGAACCTGGGTTGAGGCTTCGTGTTAGGCTGGGTTGTTAGGTGAGTTAGGTTGAGGTTAGGTTGAGGTTAGGTTGAGGTTAGGTTGAGGTGAGGTTAGGTTGAGGTGAGGTTAGGTTAGGTTGAGGTGAGGTTAGGTTAGGTTGAGGTGAGGTTAGGTTGAGGTGAGGTTAGGTTGAGGTGAGGTTAGGTTAGGTTGAGGTGAGGTTAGGTTAGGTTGAGGTGAGGTTAGGTTGAGGTGAGGTTAGGTTGAGGTTAGGTTATGTTGAGGTTAGGTTGAGGTTAGGTTGAGGTGAGGTTAGGTTAGGTTGAGGTGAGGTTAGGTTAGGTTGAGGTGAGGTTAGGTTGAGGTGAGGTTAGGTTGAGGTGAGGTTAGGTTGAGGTGAGGTTAGGTTGAGGTGAGGTTATTTTAGGTTGAGGTGAGGTTAGGTTAGGTTGAGGTGAGGTTAGGTTGAGGTGAGGTTAGGTTAGGTTGAGGTGAGGTTAGGTTAGGTTGAGGTGAGGTTAGGTTAGGTTGAGGTGAGGTTAGGTTGAGGTGAGGTTAGGTTGAGGTGAGGTTAGGTTAGGTTGAGGTGAGGTTAGGTTAGGTTGAGGTGAGGTTAGGTTAGGTTGAGGTGAGGTTAGGTTGAGGTGAGGTTAGGTTAGGTTGAGGTGAGGTTAGGTTGAGGTGAGGTTAGGTTGAGGTGAGGTTAGGTTGAGGTGAGGTTAGGTTAGGTTGAGGTGAGGTTAGGTTGAGGTGAGGTTAGGTTAGGTTGAGGTGAGGTTAGGTTAGGTTGAGGTGAGGTTAGGTTGAGGTGAGGTTAGGTTGAGGTGAGGTTAGGTTGAGGTGAGGTTAGGTTGAGGTGAGGTTAGGTTGAGGTGAGGTTAGGTTGAGGTGAGGTTAGGTTGAGGTGAGGTTAGGTTAGGTTGAGGTGAGGTTAGGTTAGGTTGAGGTGAGGTTAGGTTAGGTTGAGGTTAGGTTAGGTTGAGGTGAGGTTAGGTTAGGTTGAGGTTAGGTTAGGTTGAGGTGAGGTTAGGTTGAGGTTAGGTTAGGTTGAGGTTAGGTTAGGTTGAGGTGAGGTTAGGTTGAGGTTAGGTTAGGTTGAGGTTAGGTTGAGGTTAGGTGAGGTTAGGTTAGTTTGAAGTTAGGTTAGGCTAGATTGAGGTTATGTTATATTGGGTTAGGTCATGTTGAGTTAGGTAATATATTCACTTATGTTATGCTTGGTTAGGTTAGATTAGGCTGAAGAAGGCCTTGTTAGAGTGTATTTCCCATCTAACATCAATCAGGCTCACCAATATACTTTACCTCCCTACAAATTTCAACATTAAACTGCAGTAAACCACAAGAATATACAACACGCCGATAAATGGGGGCAAACTATTCGGTATTCACTCTAGGAAACAA